GACAGAGAGGAGAAGGTAGAAATGACTCAGCCTGGAACTGAAAATATGGATGGAGGACAACAGAGCTGCTTCATGGAAGAASAACCTCAGATTAGCCTGTTAGCGTGCGCTATGATGCAGTTTACCTGGCATCTGAAAATACATTTCCTCAAAGGTATTTTTAATCTGAAAAGAGCTTCACTGAGTGAGAACTAATGTTGAGAGCTCAGCAGACAGTTTAAGTTTCACTTTCAGTTTCACCTGAGAGCCTGCAGGAGTCATGGGCGGGGTGTGTGGGGAGGGGGGGGCGCTCTGCGTTGAGGAAGTTCAGCTTAAAGACATGTCCCAGGGGTGTTTCTGGTCCCCACCTGTCGTTTTGCTCCTCTGCATGGCTTCATAAAAACACCGCAGGATTTCTCAAACATGATGAGTCAGAGCAAGGCTTTGGACATGTTTTTTTACGAGAGTGTAACATTATAACATGATATAAAACTCAAAAAAGTTGATTTTACATGATACTGCCCCTTTAAGTTCACATATTTAGCTTTGTGCAGCATGTCCTTCAGGACACTTTCTCTAAACACAGGTTTGCTTTGTGATTCTATGAACAGAATTGCCCCCCACCCAAAAAACAAACAAACCAAGAACTTAAATTTGGGGGCGGGTCAAATGGGAGTCATTTGGCCCACGGGCCGGCAGTTGCCCATCCCTGATATAAGTCAAAATATAGACCCATCATTGCATTATTTGTGTTTTTGAAAATCTCTGGCCATCCTTCATCTCTGCATATTTTATATTTCTGTTTTTATTTACTGATGGTGAAGTTTTTCAGAACAAACAGGACAAATATATAAAAAGTTTTTTAAAACTCACAGATGAATCAGTTTCCATCATTTGTCGTCACGTAATCTTTTGATCTTTTATTGGATTTAAAATGTGTTTTATTTATTTATTTATTTATTTGCGCTGTAATCCACTGATTTGGGTCAGATGAATAATCTGCAGCGGGCGGTTTGCCTTTGCTAATTTGTCTGGCGTTCTGCTCAGCGATGATGAGGACGCTGGCTGATCACATCAGATGAAGATTAGAGGAGCTGAGGCAGCGGACTGAGAGGATGTGAAGTTGTTGGCGTCAGCAGCTCAAAGGCAACAGAAAAATATAAATGTGTTTTATCAGAATTAGAGAGATGGGCAGGAAAATTAAAACAAAACAAAAGAAGAATAGATATCCACACAGCTACATATAAGCAACATAAAATCATCGTTTTAGCTGCTTCAAAAGGAGTGAGAAGTTAAATTTGTTTTAAATTTCCACCTTTTTATACTATTTATTATTATACAATATCTTATATCAACAGTTTATATAATACAGAGCTTTGTCAGTTAACATTTACTGCATTAGATACAAGAAATCATAATTTTATACTATATGTATCTAACTTATCAATGATATCTTGTATATTTTACTATTTATGTTTATCCATCTGCCATATAACAGTTTAGAAATAATTTCTTGTACCCTTTTTTTTATATATTTATGCTTTTACTTCATTTCTTGATCCATGCTGTTCTCATTAAAATTCTAAAGGAGACAAATAACCAAGTTTGCACCAAAGATGGAGGAGAGAGATGGGAGTTTGTGTCAAATAAAATAAAATAAAATAAAACTGAGCCTGGTTCATGTTTACTCTGCAGACTGAAGCACAAACAAAAACAAAAAACCCATTGAGACAAATGTCCAGATCTGAAAACATCCTGATGATGAATAATAATTAATAAAAATCTAAGTCTGCCTCTTCGTTTTAAAGTGTACTGCAGTAAATTAAAGCTTAGATGTGGAGGTGGGCTGAGGATGAACACTTCAGCGCTCTGTGCACGCTGAAAGAATAAACCGTTACTTTCCTCCATTTTTATGACCTTTAATGTGACCTGAGCTCAGAGGTTCAACCTGCCTCCTCCCCTGCAGATGATACGGTGTCAGCCAGCAGTAACATGGACATGGAGGACAGAGTGTCCCACCTGGAGCAGAGGCTGCAGCTGCAGGAGGATGAGATCCAGCTGCTGAAGGCGGCTCTGGCCGATGCTCTGCGTCGGCTCGGTCAGTGCGAGGAGCAGAGCCAGGGGGTCCAACCGGCGGGGGCTCACGCTGGCAGGAGACCTGTGGCTGCTCCGGCTGCAACACCGCCCACCAAAGGTAAACAACTCAGCCCTTTAATGTAACCTCTGACCTTTTCTCCTGGTTCAGAGGCGTCTGGGTTACAGCAGGGAACCAAACGATATGACACAAAACTGATATTATGAAAAACAAAATAAGAAATGTTACTCAAACCTGCTCAAAGCTAAAATGATGCATCAACTTTAAAAGTTAAAGGATCAGGTTGGTTTGTAATCTCCTGTTGCAACTTATTTTTCATGTGTTCAGCGCCCCCATGAGGATCCATGAAGTACTGCAACCGTTTAAAGCACCTGAGTTTAAACAAACCCCCCACGTCCATGTTTTAGCTGTTAAATACATTTTGTTGTGGACATGGAGGCTCTAGGAGGCAGAAAATTTGAATTTAGTTTCTCCAGGTGCTGCAGAGAGATCTTTATTCTGTTTGTGTCACATTTTAAACCCATTTTCTCTATTTTCTATGATATTTTTGGAATTATTGTGTACTGTATTTACAACGGATCTTCTAAGTAATGTCTGGACTTACCAACTACAGTTTGGTGGTCTTCCTTCTCCTCTGGTTCTGGGTCAGACTCTGGCTCCAACATGTAAGGCTGGATGGATAAGTCTTCTGTTGCTGACATCTTTTAATTCATTTTTAAGTAAAATGTTTTTGCGCAGCGACATAGTCGTAAACTCCTGTATCAAACTAGAATGAACCGCTCTGGAAGCTGGAAGGGGGCGGGACATGAAGTGCTTTGTTGATCGAGTTGGTCTGAGACACACCTCAGAAAAGGGGCGGGGCTTGTGGAGTTACAACAAGGAGGAATTCAGACCAAAGCGTTGCAGTTCCACTTTATATTTCCTTTCCTTTCCTTTCCTTTCCTCCACTAAACTAGAATGAACCAATCTGAGACACACCCCAGAAAAGGGGCGGGGCTTGTGGAGTTACAATAAGGAGGAATTCAGACCAAAGCGTTGCAGTTCCACTTTATTTTTTCTTTTCCTTTCCTTTCCTCCACTAAACTAGAATGAACCAATCTGATACACACCCCAGAAAAGGGGTGGGATTTCCTCCCCTAAACTAGAATGAACCAATCTGAGACACGCCCCAGAAAAGGGGCGGGACTTGTAGAGTTACAATAAGGAGGAATTCAGACCAAATCGTTGCAGTTCCACTTTATAAAGACCCCAATTCAAGGATTTAAATGTGAAAAAGAAGGATTTAAAATCAGGATATGTCTGATTTAATATTAATACAGTATATTGTTATTCAGCTGCACCTTTCTGCTTGTATCACAAAATATTTTGTCTCAGTCTGACACAAATTGTTGACTTTTCTTCAATAAAAGATGTTTAGCTGCTGTCAGAGTGAATGCCGAGGAGTCCAGAAGACATGTAATGGATTATTTAGTTTTATTACACAGTTAATTAGTAACGTTTTTTATTTCTTGTCTTTCAGTTCGTCAGCTCCTGCAGGCTCTTCCCTCCAGACCTCTGAGTAACGGTTATGTTCAACAGAAACGCCTCCTCTCCTCTCCGTCATCTCCAAAGAAAGAGGTGCTGCTGTCCATTAAAAGGTCAGATTGCTTCAAAGAAAACAGTCTAAAGGAGACGACGTGATGAATCACATAAAATAATGTTTAGTTTTGATAAACGCAGCTCTGTTGATGTCCTCCTCCTCTCAGGAAGAGCATGTCGACGGAGCGTCTGACTCTGGTCAGGAGAGAGATGGCAGCAGAGAGTCGCAGCCGAACCACCTCCTCCAGCAGCTCCTCTGGTGGCAAAAGGTAACAGCTGAAGTTATTATCATCACACAGGACATCAGGGTTTTTATTTAACACTTTTTTTAAAGATTAGGCCAAAAAAGAAACAGAAAACAAAGTCAGAATAAATTCAGTTAAATTCAGTTTATTTATATAGCACCAAGTCACAACATACGTCGTCTCAGCTGTACATAAAAAGAACAATGTAAAGAAGAAACCAGCAGATTGTGTTGAATCACTTCATCACAGTCTCCCATCCTGA